TTGAACCTGCCACCCTGGGTGTATGTGGCTGGAGCCATAACCACTGTGCTATGGGCAACTAAGCCTCAAAATAATATTTCTGAATACATAAAATAAAATTTGAATGATTACAAAAGATACTGATTGTAATGAAACAGTTATCAAAAAGAAAAAATTGTGAAATGCTTCTTTATTAATGCATGAAACAACAAGATCTAGTGGTGGACCTAATAATTAATAATTCCCCAAATTTCAAAATAGCAGTGAGTGTAAATGATAGTTTGAGAGATTCTGATAATTAATAAAGTTTGGAAATCTTTGCTCTAAGCAACTTTTTACATCATGGTTCCCTAATTTCCTGGCCTCCCTGGCAGCTAGGGGTGGTTATGTGATTTCCTCACTCCTTGAACTTGAACATCTTATTTAAATGTGTAGTAACCTTGCAATGTTGGGGCAACAAGATAACTGTAGAAGCTCTGAACCACACATCACTGTCTGGCTCCAAATTCCTTGTTTTGTGAGAAACCTCCCCCCCACTCTCCAGAAATTTAAGCCACAGTTTAATTTTTGTGTTAGTCATAGCCAAATATAGTTCTAATTAAGACAATACTGTTTTTAAAAAGAAAGATGTTTTTCCTCATGCTGGTAAGAATTTTAAACATTATTTTAATAGTGAAATACATGTTAGTATTAGTTAACAGGGCCTGGGGAGGTGGCTCACACTTGTAGTCCTACCATTTTGGGAGGTTGAGGCGGGAGGATTGCTTGAGGCTAGGAGTTCAAGACTAGCCTGAACAAGAACCAGAACCCCATCTCTACAAAAAAATATTAGAAAAATTAGTCAGGTGTGGTGGTGTGTGCTTGTAGTCCCAGCTACTTAGGAGGTTGAGGCAGGAAGGTCCTTTGAGCCTAGGAGTTTGAGGTTGCAGTGAGCTATAATGACACCACTGCCCTCTAGCACAGGTGACAAAGCAAGACCCTGTTTAAAAAAAAAAGAAAGAAGAAAAACAAATGTGTATTAACAAATATGGAGCAGATGACAAATTCTTGTGGAATTTCAGCACGTGTAGCTTACTTCTTGCTAAATCCCCAGATACCTTGGGATAAAAGTCTTCAATCCTAAGGGATTCTCCTCTGGAAATTTTTAAGGAGCACTTTTAAGACAAACTAGATTGGGCTCGGCGCTTGTGGCTCAAGCGGCTAAGGCGCCAGCCACATACACCTAAGGTGGCGGGTTCAAATCCCCAGCCCGGGCCCGCCAAACAACAATGATGGCTGCAACCAAAGAATGGCCAGGCGTTGTGGCGGGCGCCTGTAGTCCCAGCTACTTGGGAGGCTGAGGCAGGAGACTCGCTTGAGCCCAGGAGTTGGAGGTTGCTGTGAGCGTGATGCCATGGCACTCTACCCAGGGGGATAGCTTGAGGCTCCGTCTCAAAAAAAAAAAGACAAACTAGATTGTAGTTTTTATGAAAGTCAGGATTGACTATTTCTAAGAAAATAGTCAATTTCAAAGACAGCTCTGTCACCTACCATAGTATCTGATTCACAATGATGCCTAATAAATATTTGTGTAGTGGGACTAGTGAATTTTTTGTTAACTGATGACAGGTTTATTAGCAGAATCTTTCCAATGGTTAAGAAGGGAGTAGATCAGTGCACTCAAATCTGCATATAATGGACATGTAAATAAATATGTTGAATGAATAAATGGAACTTCTTTTATGTGATATATAAAGTTCAGATTCTAACTATGATAGACACTATATTAACTGCTCATATATTTACCATATCCTATTTAATCTTTGAAATAATCATGTGAAGTGGGAAGCACTACTTTATCTGTGACCAGGTATGGGTTCAGGGCAACCAGAAAAATGGGGTCACCCAAATTTGTTGGGAGAAAATGGTGATCTGATGTCTTACCTAAGAACATCAGGAGCCTTATAGCCAACATGGGAAAAATCAAAAGCTTTTCTAGATTATATTTAATATTGTTTCAATTTTTAATTATATATTGGGAAGTGCTTTGTACTGCTAAGAGTGTCTAAAGCTAAAGCTCTTCATCTGGTTCTGGAGGAAGAAGCTATGATTTCCTCCATTTTGCAGAACAAACCAAAGTTCAGAAAGCTTTTCTACTAGCTCAGATCACAAAGATAGTTGAGCCCATTATCATGGTACTCAGTGTTTATGAAACATTATGTTTATGGATGGGACATACCAGTTTTCTTTTCAAAGTTGTGAATCTTATTGGTCCTTCTTTAAAGATTTAGGATTTTAATCAAGTAAAGCATACATCAAAGTTAACCTCAATATCTATTTTGGGGGTATTGCAATGTATCTTTTCCCCCCTTTTAATTGAAAGAATGAATGACATGCAATTGTTATTATTTTTTTATTATTATTATTTTTTGAAATAGAGCCTCAAGCTGTTGCCCTGGGTAGAGTGCCATAGCAGCATAGCTCACAGCAACCTCCAATTCCTGGGCTTAGCGATTCTCTCGCCTCCTCCTCCCAAGTAGCTGGGACTACAGGCGCTCACCACAACACCTGGCTATTTTTTGGTTGTATTTGTCGTTGTTGTTTTGCAGGCCTGGGCTGGATTCGAACCTGCCAGCTCTGGTGTCTTAGCTGCTTGAGCTACAGGGGCTTAGTCACAATTACTATTATTATTACCTAAATGACTGGGCTTTGTATTAGGTTGGGGGCCAATCCAAGGGAAAGTGAGAAGGAACTCAAGCAGGCCAAGAAACTGCTCCCCTGCCTTTCTGAGGTTGCCAGAATTTGCAAGACAGGGGTCCCTAGCTGTCTTTACTTTTTGATCCTTAGCATAGTTCCCATTTTGGAAGCTGAGGATCCCACACTCCCTTCTCCTTATGTAAGCTGAGTTAGGCAAAGGAGTAGGATTTAAGAAAATGTGTTTTATAAGTCTTTTAAGTAATAATTCCTAAAGACTGTATAATCCCATACTGATAATAAATGGAAAAAGGCGAAATATAAATATGTTCTCCCAATATGCAAAAGTGAAAAAATGGAATTTTTAGTTTGTGTCCATCTCCTACCTCAGTGTCTTGAATATTGGTATGCATAAAAAAATCACTTATTTAAAAATTCACCTTTCTGAACCTTGTCTCCAGAGTACCTGATTTTGTAGGCATGAGTGGACCTGAGAATTGGCACCCCAGGTGATTCTGGTGCTGGCATTCTATTCACCAACCGATAAGAACCATCACCCTTATACAGATTGAGGAGTAGGTTTAAAAAATACGAATTGCATGATGTTTATTTCTGCCATCCTTACCACGGCCTGGGCAATTGCCCTATTACTAAATTTGCTCTTGTCCCCCAAACATTGACAGTCCCTAACCTGAATAGCACTCTTTTGGGTCTCATATTAAATTGTCTGTCCAACCCAATGTACATCAAAGTATGAATGAGATTTAAATCCTCTTTTAGGGCACTTGGATTAAAAAACGATTTATCTCTTCTCCTAAGGTAAATATCAGAATGTCTCTCTATTACCCTTTAATTTCTCACTTGGGGAATTAACTTGGCAGTACAGCCTACTTTAATTTGAATGCAGGAGAAGTCAAGCCCACTTCCCTCTTCAGCCTATTGAACTTCTATGCTTTATTCTTGACTCATCCTGTCTCTCTGTGAATCCTCTTTGGTAAATTTATCCACAAGGAAGATGCTTTATGTCATCGCCACCCCTTGCACACGTTTCAATTATAGCACCTATCATCTTTCACCAGGATTGACTTTTATTTTTGTATCTCCAATTCTATATGCAGTGCTTCGCAAATAGCAGGCGCTCACTAACCATGGAATGAATTGTTAAATGATTTAAAAATCAAGGCTGGGAAAGAAAACATGAAAATGTCAACGGCTGACTACTAGGCAGTGAGGGCCTAGAAGGAATAAAAATAATCCCTAACAGCACAGAATCCTCCTGAAGGGATCATCTGTCCCACTTTCTCGCGTTGCTCCTCGGCCTCTTCCCACACCCCAATTTCCCGCCCACTCCCTTCGCTTCCAGAGACAGGTCAGGCAGGTATCCCAGCTCAGCAGCTCTGATTGGCTGGCGATGATTTCATTGTTAGAGAACATCCGGGCCTTTTCCCTCCCGGCAGCACCGCCCCGCAACCCTACCCTCCCAGTTCCCACTCCCGCGTGCGCCCCACCCGTGCGGAAGCAAAACAACCGCCTCTCCCCAGCCTGCTTCTTGTCTTCGCCTGTGCTACCCCTTCCCGTCTCTACGTCGAAGAGAGGCGTCCTTATCCTCCAATGAGGGCCTAGGAGGACATTGTTAGCCAATCAGTAGCCAACGCCCGGCAATTCCGGGTGGGGCTAGGCCTCCACACCTGTAACTGGACAGCCCGTTGGTTCCTTTATGGCGCTTGTTTTACTCAAGGCTTAAAGGTCAAAAAGAAGGGGGCATGGTCTTCTCAGAACGTGAAGGACCCGCACTGACTCTCTGGGGTTTGACCGTTTTCGAAGACTAACCAATCGCTTTTCCGACACTTCCCCGCCTTTTGCGCCTTCATTTGAAAAAAGCCGGTGTGACGGACTTGGAAATTGGTTCAGTGACGGACACGCAGAGAAAGCCAATGACTGAAGGTTGGCACCACCATTTTGACCAATAAGAAAAGGGAGTCGTAAGGTCTCGGCCCTGGCGAGGCGGAGCGCAGGTGGGCGTTATTTGATTGACGGAGGGCTCTACTTATGGTTGGTAGGGTGGGCTGGTTCTTGGCGTTCTGGAGCTAGTACCTAGAGGAGGCGGGGCCGAATGAAGTAAATGGTAATGAAGGGTTGGGTCTCACTCAGTGGGCGGTGTTTGATGGATAGTTGACCTTGCCAATTGAAGGTGGTTACTGCTGCCCAATGAGAAATTAGGAAGTCAGAGGCGGGGCCTTATGGGCGGGGAAAACTAAGTACGGAGGTTTTGGGGGAGCCGAAATGGGAGGGAGAACTGTGATTGACAGGACTTTCAGCAAACCGTAGACCGTAAAAAGACGCGCGGCATCCCACTGGGTGAGAGCCGGAGGCGGGGCTCTCCGAGGGGCGGGGAGGGACGGGGTGCGGGGAGGGGGTTGCAGAAGGAGCCCAGCGGCTGCTGCTCAATGGCGGAAAAGCCGCCGGTGCTCTGATTGCCTGGTTCCCCTAGCAGTTGCGGGGGAGTTTCCTGCCGGCGCGGCTGGAGTCTCTGTTTCTCTGCGTTCGGTGGTTGGAAGATGCTCCAGAGAGACGAGGCTGCGGCGGAGGAGGTGGCGGCAGCCGAATCGGCAACGGCGCTAGGGTGGAGAGAAGGCGGCAGCGGCGGCGGCGGCGGCGGCGTGAGGGGCCCGGCGGTCTAAACAGTCCCGGAGGTGGCGGAGGTGGTGGCCGAGACCCCAAGGGGGAAGCGGCGGCTGAGGCAGGGTCGCGCCTCCGTTGGAAACTTGGGCTGAATACGGCGGGGGGGCTCTGCGGCGGGCGCGAGCGAGACGCCTTAGACTTCGCCTCCCTCCCTCGCCACAGGTAAGGCCGCTCGGCGTCCCGCCGGAGGGGAAACGGCTGGCCGCTCCGCCGAGGCCCCGGGACCGTTTCGCCGAGCTGCGGCCCTGGCCTCTGCTTTTCCGAATCCTCGCCTTTTTCTCTGCTGCCAGGGAGCCTGGGGATCGCAGCGCTGACTTGGGTCCTGGGTAGGCCCCTTTCCCGGCCGCCGCCTCCGTTCTCGGTTAAGGGCCGAGAAAGGCGCTAGGAGAGAATAGGAGTTTGCTCAAACGCCTGGAATTCAGCTGCTTCCCCCTTCTCTCTGCTTAAGTCTGCTAGCACCTCTTTCACGCGAAAGTACTGGCTTTTAACCCAGGCCATGGCTGATCACTTCCTGGTGCATGGTTATTTGAAAACACTACCTTTTCCCATTTGTTTCCTCGTTAGCTTCTGCCCTACTCTGCGCTTTACTTCACTTCCTTGTTAAATCTGCTTTCTCGCCCTTTTGCCTCTGCTTCTCACCACCTCCTTTCTCCTTAGTTGACTTTGAATCATTTCTCTTATCCGACTCTGGTTTGTTTTGCCTGCCTTACCCAGCTCCTTCCTTTTTGGATGTAGTTCTTAACTGTATTTTTTAATTTCAAACTGCTAGTATCGTCAGTGCCCCAAATCTTCTGGAGGCCCATTAAGAGTAGACTGACCAGCTTTAAGTGGTAGATCAGTTTTTAACCCTTAGGGAAGAAAATTATATTAAATGTAGAGTGTGAAAATAACATTGAAATATTTTTTTAAATGAAGGACTGAGTGTTGAGAATAGTTGCTGCTTCATTTTTTAAAAAGTTGTGTGACCTCTAATGTCAGATTTAGCAGATCTAGGATGTTTGCCCGTCATACTTGGCAAAATGCTTCTAAAGCATTTGATAGCAGCCCAAATTCATCAGTATTCAAGTTGTAAAAGCAACTTGAAAACTTCCAAAAAAGACATTACATGAACTAGGGAAGCTGTTTTGATAAAGTCACAGTTACAAAGCTTTTAAAATAGGCTCCACATGTTTAATGTAGCAAATAAAGTTGGCACTAGTCTTGTAAAAGGATTATTTAGGAATTTGTGTAGTCTTAGTGTTATGTGGCTATTTTGGGAAAAACATTCTTTTTCTGTTAACAAACGTTTACAACTACTGTGATGTGAGAATTACTGAGGTTTATTGTGGGATTAACACAGGAACTCTTTTTAAGCTACTGTATGGATGGAGAAGTGGTAAATTGTTCAGGGTGGACAGTGTAAGTCACAGTATGTTCTGGGAGGTAGAGAAACATGCCATGGACACTGAATGTTAATAGATATTATTTCATTTACTTTCTCTGTTGTGCAATAGCAAAGTTCCTATTGTTGGCCTACTTTTAAATAGAGCATTTCTAAATAAATTGAGACAATCTATTCTATTCTAATTATTATAATAGTCTTTTCCAAGTATACAGGCCTTTTATGAATACAACTAAAGTAATATTAAGATGGCAATTTTTAAAGGAATTGTTTTTGTAGGCCTCCCAAATGGGGACAGTGTGTTGTTATGTAGAACTTTTAAAATTAAGTGTTTAGAACATACTTTTTTAGTAACAGATATTCTTTCAGGGGTGATCTTTTTTTTTTTCCTCCTGTGCTACTTACTTCAATGCCTCCTTTGTCCTTTTTTTTTTTTTTAAATGGTGGTTTGTGTTTTCCCTTTTTCATTTGTTTTTGCTCTCATAAAGTCTTATCACAGTTTCTGCAGTGGCTGTTTTTGTTATGTCATTGAGTAATTTTTTATTCTTTTTGAGTACTATTCTTAATTAGAGCTTTCATACCTGTTAGGTAAGATTTCCCCAGTTTTTTATACATTATCCTTTGGGTTTGTTGATGTGATGTTTATTCTCTTAGAGGTGACTAGCAGAACTTTCAACATGTCTTTTCTTACACTGGGTGTCTGATTTCTGTGAAGACTCTAGGAATAGGTGAGAAGCCGTTTCAGTTTGTCTAGTCATATCAGTAATACTTTTTTATGTTAGTAATTCACATAGTATAATTACTAAATCCCTTAAGATTACATCATCTAAAGGAATGGTGTAGTGTCTAAATAGCTGTGCTTCTAAGAATGGCTGATTCACTAGTTGACAAGATCAGAAAAAGTGGCTTTTGTTAAAAGCTATTTTTTACGGAATTTTTGAATTAAAATATGATGCTGACTGTCAAGAGTAGAATTTGCCATAGTATCAGTGATTATGGAGATTCTTTAAAAAGTGGCTGAGCCAATAGTGAAAGGATGCCCTTGTAAATGGGTTGGGAAACATTTATTGTACATGATACTGGAAGTTAGTTACACATATAATCTGTCTACATGTGTGTTACTCATATATAATTACTGTGTAACTCATTAGTGTTAGTTACACATATAATCTGTCTACATGTGTGTATATGTGTATATTTTTCTCAATTCCATGTTCATAATACAGACCAGGCACAGGGCCTGGGCTTGGGTGTGTATCAGGTAGGATTTACTCAGGCTTCTTCTACACAGTCAGTGTAAGAACACAGCCTATGGTAAGCACTACAAGTCCTGTAATTCATATTTTAACTATTTATATAGTATACATAACTAATTTAAAGTATTATGTGACATTCCCTAGCACAGGATGTAATGATAGTATTTTTTTTTTTTTTTTCCCCCGAGACGAGTCTCATCATGTCACCCTCAGTAGAGTGCTACGGTGTCATAGCTCACAACTCTTGGGTTTAAGCAATTCCCTTGCCTCAGCCTCCCAAGTAGCTGGTACTACAGGCCCCCACCACAATGCCTGGCTATTTTTTTGTTGCAGTTGTCATTGTTGTTGAGCTGACCCAGGCCCGGTTCTAACCCACCAGCCTGGGTATATGTGGCTGGCATCGTAACCACTGTCCTGAGCCAATCAGTATTAATTCTCACTCTAAAGCTATCTTCTTAAAATACAACACGTGATATTTTACATTTTCTTCATAATTCACTGACTTTAAGAAAAAATAATTGGCAAATAATTGATGGTATCAGAATAATAAAGGTTTTTTAAATTCTAAAATTTAATAGCAAAATTCAAGTAATAGTTTAAAATACAAAATCATGATTAGGGGTAAGAGAATTTGTGGGAATATAGTACTTTTGAGTGATATTTTTCACATTGCACTTGATGCTTTTTTTTCAGACAGAGTCTTACTTTGCCCCCCTGGGTAGAGTACTGTGGCATCATAGCTCACAGCAATCTCTAACTCCTGGGCTCAAGCAATCCTCTTGCCTTAGCCTTTCGCAATGCCGAGCTAGTTTTAGAGATGGAGTCTTACTCTTGCTCAGGCTGGTCTTGAACTCCTGAGCTCAGATGATCCACTGGGCTTGGCCTCCCAAAGTGCCAGGATTATAGGCATGAGCCACTGCGCCCAGCCATTGATGCTTTTTATATTTTTCCTTGGTGAACTAATTTCCAAATTTAATTCAAATGGACTACTGCTACTTATATTGGCAGCTTTAATGAATCTTACACGTTATATTAGTAGAATGGATGATTAAGAGGATTTATCAGATAGGGATATGGGATAAGATTCCTAGAAACTGAGTAGACCTCAGATAGGTAATCTAGGATACTTCCCATCTCAGATTTAATTTGTTCTTTTTTTTTTTTTTTTTGCAGTTTTTGGCTGGGTTTGAACCCACCACCTCTGGTTTATGGGGCCGGTACCCTACTCCTTGAGCCATAGGCACTGCCCTCACTATTTAATTTTTAAGACATAGGGTCTTAACTATTACTTAAGCTGGAGTGCAGTGTGGGCTGATTATAGCTTGCTGCAACCTTGAATTCCTACATTCAAGCATCCTCCTGCCTCAGTCTCCTGAGAAGCTAGGATTATAGTCATGCACCACCATGTCCAGCTAATTTTTTATATTTTGTACGGCTAGAGTTTCACTGTGTTGGTTAGGCTGAACTCCTGGCCTCAAGCAATCCTGCTTTGGCTTCTCAAAGTGTTAAGATTACAGGCATGAGCCACTGCATCTGGCTGTCAAACAAAACATTTCTAATATGATTTAACCTCTTGCCTAAGAAGAAGATGGTCACTTTTGAATATTTCATATATATTCCTCCCCTTAAAGGCATCTACCTAGAAGACTACAATGATCTGACTAGGTGGTTTGTCATCAGTATGAAGA